TAAAATACCTGTTTGTGAGACGACATTTTTATTAAAAGGTAGTAAATAATTAGTTTTAATAACTGATACAAGACACTTTTTGATGTTTGCTGCCTGTATATCTTTAATGAATCAGAACATTGACAGTATTAAGTGCATCTGCCACAGATTAAAGTTGCTCAACCGTATAGTCATGTAAAGAAAAACACTGGTTAGAAAGCGGGATGTTTACTTCCAGGTCAATCCTGTTCCATAAAATCTATAAATTTGCTGAGTTTCATTTACAAGTTTGACAAAACAGAAGTTAAGATGCAACAGGGGATGGTGGGCAACAGATTGCTTGATTTTCATTGCTCATAAACTTCTCTTCTTTTCCCCCTCCTCCCTCCCTTCAGAGGAGTTAGAAAACCCGGAGAGCTCAGTAGAAAAAGCCACTGATTTGAATGAAACTGAAAGCATTCAGCCCAAAGGTAAGAACCCAGAGGGAACGTTCATGTCGACTCACAGGTGTGCACTTATCTCACACATGTCTGTTTTCAAGAGGATTCTTATTAGTGACCACAGCTGCCGAATTAAAACTCGTCTTTTAAGAGACTCATCAGCTTTGTGCTGCTGATTTATTTATTTTTTTCCCCAGTTTCCCCGTCTGTCTTTATCTCCTCGTCTCTGTAGGAGCAGGCAGCAGGCAGGCACTTTGTGTGCTCCTCTAGGGCCAAATGCATTTGCAAATCTGCTCGACTGCAACTAAAGTCCTGATATTTTGGTACAAAGTTGACAGCACGCCTTTGGAGATCGAATCTGATGAATTACCTGCAAACTCAACTATCAGACGCTTAATAGATCAACTGTAAGATGCATATTATTTTAAACTCGCAGCCACCTCAGACTATAGGGGCAATAATCATGCCAATAAATCACATTTGATAAAGGATTCTACGCCGGTGTTCTCAGATTTCTTTGGAGATTTAAGGTAATAAGATGGCATGTAATTTGAAAGTTGACATTTATGGAGAATGTTTTGAATTTCTGTATCTGCAAAYGTTCTGCATTTTGAAGAGTTGTTAATCCAGAAAGGGAGATTTAGATTTGGGCATCGTGGAGTTTTCAGGTAGAGAGACGAGAGGGGAAATCATTAAGCATCTGCTTTGAACAGATTGTTGGGGTTGAATAAATAGGACAGGCTAGCAGCTTATAAAATAAGTTGGCAGAGATACACAGGTTGGTGTAGAAGGGGGRGAAAGCTCAAAGAATGCCAGACAAAAGCACCGGAGAAGAAAAGGGGTTGTTCAACAATAGTCAGGATCAAGGTGGGATGTTGTATGATGGAGCTGGCCAGCAAATAATGTGCTTTTAAATTTAGCCAGAGAACATCAGAGAATCACAATGAGCAGCCCTGGTTTTTGAACATAGATAATGGCTTGCTTTATTTTATTTTATAAAAGTTTAATGTTGTCTGGACAGTCCTCTGTGTCAGTTTGTCAGTCCCAAACACACCATTATTTTCATTATCAATGATCATATTTAGAGCTAAATATGGGTCATTATGAAGTGTACTGGTATATTACTATTTCTGATTTAATAAACACTGTTGATAAAGATCACAGGTTGCATTAAMATAAACTATAACCTCTTATAAATAATAAAACAAACCCCTGTTCTAATGCATTGAAGTGTAAGTTTCTTTTTACTGTCACAGTATTCAACATTATCAATAAATATAAAAAACATGAATGACTCCCTAACAGTAAAAAAAACCTTTAATCCTCACCTTTTTGCATTCATGTGAGAGCCTGTCAAARCCTGTCCGTTATTCTAGAAAACCCAAGCATTCTTTTTATCTCTAGTCACCTCCCCACTTTGGGAAGCACTGATTTAGTAGAAGCTGTCTGGTCTGAAAAATCTATTTCTAAGTGGCACTTTAAGTTATGTAGCTGGTTATGTTTGTGTTTTTTTACACTTGACTTGTAACTCAACGATTTATAAAATACCTGCAGATAGGACATTTAACTGTCGAAGTGTGCTAATTACTGGGTACCCCTTGGCATACCATCACTATATACCAGGGGTCTTCCAACGCTTTTCAGTTTGGGACTCCCAAACTGATGGAGACACACACCAAGGACCCCATATAGGCTATACACTGCCTGGATTTAACTAAGCAGACAGGTACAAGCCTCCAATTGGATAAATAATGTATAGGTGATTATCTTTCAGCTGCAACAAGTACTTTAACTTCAAYTGGTGCATTAAGTTGCTTCTCCATGTGGAAAAACATCCTGTGGTCGTGGAAAAGATGCCAGTCTGTTTGAGAAGGGTCAAATCGTTGGCATCAAGCAGAGAAAACCTCTAAGGAGATTGCAGAAACTACTAAAATTGGGATAATAACTGGAAGGATGGTGGGGACCCATAGTCTTAGAGGATGCTCCCATCATAGTGTCCACTGTACAGGCCTGTGGGGGCAGTCTATGATCTGGGGTTGCTGCAGTTGGTCAGGTCTAGGATGCTTATCGAAACAATGCCACAGTGAATGCGTGCCATAATCATCGCTAAAGGCGATCCAACTAAATATTAGTGTCTGACCTTTATTTTATTTTATTTTTTTTTTTGGCCAGGCAGTGAATAAATACATTAATTGGCTGTTATCGTTAGGAGCTGTGTTGTATAAATATTGCAAATAATTACAGCACTAATCGGCCCATTACGAGTTATTTGCAGAATTCAGTTGGTGTTCTCACTGAATTTCTGACTGAATTATTATTTTATTCCTCAGCTTATCAATTTGCTACATGTTGGATTCATGGTAATGTGTGTTTAAACTCATTGTTGAAACCCTTTGCTATAAACTATATAAGGAAAATTACAAAGTGGTCAATCCTCCACACACTAAAGTCCAGCTTGGAGGTACTGAAGGGTTTGATTCATTAGCCAAAGTCTCAAAACATTTATGGATCAATAGTTCATACTGCCACTGCTGTTGAATTTAAACTATAAATGTTGCTCTCTCCATGTGACAGCATCATAGTAATCATAAAAATTAACACCCATCTCACATCCCTGCCTGTTTTTCCTGTCCAGATGCAGCTGAAAACAAAGAATGACCAGCTGAGAGGGGGAACAATCGACCTCATCTGACAGCCAGAAAACTGTGCAAGGCCAACYACCCTGGTGTCAGAGCGTCAGAATGGGCTCTGACACTGGCCCAGGACAACCAGTTCCCACACAAGATGCTCACAACCCCAACTTTACTTTGCTTCCCCACACTTTGCTAAAAAAATTAAATTACATTCTTCCCTCAAGTATGTATGTACTGTATGTATATGTCTGTACAAAACCTTACTATAGGACTTGAACATATCAACCAGAAAAGATGAGCCATACCTCACTGTGTGTTAAGAGTCATACATCATTTTGCCAGCAGGGTGCAATGAGATAAACCAGGTTAGAGTCTGTTTTATTTGATGAACCCCACTGTGAGAGCAGGGTCAAACTGTCAGAGGACAGCAGCCACGGCTCCTACGTGTTGCCACTCCTGGCTGGATGATGTTTAACATCAATCTTCCTTCAGTTCTTGCAACTCGGACGCAACTTTTACAGTCATCGTGGCATTAAACTACTGAATCTGTGAGGCTTTTCAGAGTGCACCGCACTAACACCTGCCCTGTCTGCTCACACACCGGTGCACCTCCAAGTCCAGTCAGCCAATAGCTGTAAGGCAATGTGCCACTCAGAGGCATTTCATCTGTTAACGTCCCAGATCACGCACACAAACGAGGATGTGTCTCTAGACAAATCGATTAGTTCCCTTTTTTTTGTATCCCCTCTCGGCTTCTGTTCTTTGCCATTTCCTGTGCATGCCAGAAAAATCCTTCGACTTTTCAACCAACATAAACAAAAAGTACAGTCTTCTTCGCTCTTGCTTGTCTCCTTTCCAGATTGTCTCTAATTGTATGGAAGGAATCTGCCTTATTTCATATCAAATGACAAATTACTACCACAAACATTAGGAGGTAGTCCAAGTCTCAGTTCTTGGTTGTGTATTGCTTGCAGATGATTTGTATTTTTTCTTGACATGTAATGGCTATAACCTGTTGGTAATCATTTCTTTTTCTCAATTGATTTTTAAAAAAGGGTTTTGTTTTCTTTTAATTGTTATGATTTACAATTTTTTAGTGATGCCATACTAAAGACCCGATGAATTACAGTTCTATAAAATGATGCCTTCATACTTTGATGTTTGCTTTGCTAAACTATAACAGAAACAACTAATAAAGTTTAAAAAGGAAACCATGCATTATGTTATGTGTCTTGTTTTTACATCTATCATGTAAAAATTAGCTGATTTCCTTGTTACATAAATAAGTATCCTTATGTTCTTATATCCCCACCCATAACAACTACACCCCCCCCCCCCAAAAAAAAAAAAAATCAGGGATGTTTCAGATAAAGTTGTACCTTCATAAAATACTGATTTTATGTTTTATTAATATCAAGAATTTAGTCAAATTTCTTCAAATGGCTGGAAGATGCATACTTAGAAGAGATTTTACAAAATTTTCCTGTGCAGTATACCCCTGGACCCCCCCCTAGAACTGCTTCACTCCACAGCTGCTYATTAACATGAACAGGCACCTGATCTTGCCTAGGGGCGGCCCTGAACAGGTAAGATATTAACTGTTCATAAACCTTCCACAGAACTTCACTTTAAAATATTCAAACTATCACTGTAACGCAACAAAACTCATCAGGCCAGCAACATTTTGACAGCTAAACCAAAGCAACGGCAAACAAAACCTCAACCAAGACGTTCAAGCAAAACTGGCAGGAACAAAACTAATTTTTTTTCCTCCCGTCAACTAAAGAAACTATTTTTGTCCCGCTGAGAGAATTGTTTAGTTTTAACAGTTTTGAATTTTAGGCGATACAACTGCCAAACAAGCATCCACAACAGGTTTCCTCAACTGTTGACGTGAACGTGAGTCTCCTCGCTGAAGCAGCTATCGTATTCCATTAACTTGTCACATGCCAGGCAGAYGTCTGTAGTGATTGTCCCCAGATTGGTAGGTGTTTAAATTTTAATGACTCCGTTTAAATGTTGCATGTYGGAGCGGTGGGTTCCCTCAACTCGAGCGGTAGGAGGTGTTGAGAGGGGGAAACTGGTGCTACAAGCCCGCTCTTTGGCATAAAAAAAAACACTTCAGTGTTAAAATAACAAACTGCCTCTGTCACAAAAACAGCCCAGCGTCCTAGTTTACATCTGACACTGTTGGATTTTCTGACTTACATCCGAGTTGTTAGGCTGAAATTGTTGACTCACATCCTTAACACAAAAACATCACAGGCGCTGTATCTGTCCTCGCATTAAAGGGAACCATAAATACACGTTAGGGTGTTTATATGTGGTGATTGACGTGCGAGATATGTTTTTGTCAGTATCTGACACGTCTTGTCAGGCTGCTGCGGGTTGATGTGATGTGCTCCATTTATTTCCTGTTTCAAATGAAAGCTCTTCTCAACACAAACACGCTTGTTCTCCCGCCTTTTTTTTTCTCTGCACAACTGTTTAACTCCGCCCACCATCCTCCATCCTCCCGCCATACAGCGACCCGGTGCCACAATGGCTGTTTACACCGCAGAAACAAATTGGAGGAAAGTAATTCCAGCTAAAGCTTTAAATCCCAACACTTGATAAGCTGTTTTTATTTGAAGTACAGAGTTTGTCCTTCATGAAAATTCATCGCCCCCACAAGAAGCAGAGGCATCACTATAGTTGAACTTAGCTGAGATAAACACTCTAATTGGGATGAAAATTGAAGCCATTCATTATGGATGCTGGTCTTCAAAGGCAACTAGGGCAGCTGAAACGTTGAAAGGAAATTGACTTGCAGCTTTCCTGGTTTCCTTTGAACAAGTGAGAACATGTCGAATAAAAACTCCACAGCACAGGAATGTTAGGCAAATTACATTTACTGCCAAATTAAAAATAAATAAATAAATAAAAAGCACATTTGTCTCAAGCTGATGGCCTCTCATGACAAGAGTAGAAGAAAAGGGAAGATTAAAAAACTAATTTCATCATTTAATCTCTGTTGTAGCTCTAATTATAAACTTGATAATATCAAAGTGACTTAAAGTGCAGATGAAATTGGATAGGTTATACAATTTATCTAGTCCATCACTACCTGCTGATAAGATTGTTTTTAGTGTGGGAGTAGCCGAGAGTTATCCAGTAAAAAATACTTTTAACTAGTTATAAAACTTCAAATTTGTGACATAAAATGGGATTTTTGTAATTGTGAAAGCTGTAAGCATTTGAATGCACCATTTACTTTAATGTTAGTTTTAATAATATTTACTTTTGTTTGTAAAATCTAATCAGATTGCAGGTTTTAGACAACAAAAACCAGCAGCCTGCTCAGAATACACTGATCATTATGAGTGACATTCACACCTGAATCTGTTCTGCTGCCAAAACACAGAACTTGGCTCTTTTCGCTGTAAAAAATGAAATTTCACAGCATTATGAAACTGATTTGAGTGCTGTTGCAGTGCAGCAGTAAACTTTGCTGCCTTATGATTTAGACGGCTGCTAAAAACCACCCAGAGAAATTTAAAGTCGTGCATTCACTCGGTGATAAACTTTAGTTAATTTGACACCATTAACTGTAAACTGCTCTCATTATCCGATAGGTTAAAGCTTTTATGTTCGGAAACAACTTTCAGTTTCAACTACATCTAAATAAATGTGAACAATTTCTCTGTGYGCAAAAACGTCCTTTCAGAACAGGTGAATTGAAGCAAGATTTAAATGACGAGGTTTCTTTTTTTAGAGCACTAATAAACTGAGTGCATTTAGAGGAGGGATGCAGAATGTTTCTCCCCTTGTTAACAAATTTACTTCAGAAGTCATTAAAATGTTTCCATGCTGTCGTTTCAACAGGAGGATAAACACCCAGGACGCCTAATGAAAGGAAATGAAAAGCAACAGCCCTAAAATGCTCAGTAATTAATTTGGACATTAATAAATACATTAAGGCTTATTTAGCTGCAACTTTGCGAGTAGTTTGGTTATGTCGATGCTCTAACTCRTTAATGTAAAATGTCACCTGGTTCTTCAGCTTCCTGGGATTCAGGAAATGAATCAGCAGTGCATTTAAAGATGAACAGCTCGCACGCTGAGAAGGGAGCAGGGTTCCTGTTGGAGCCCTGCAGCTTTTCACTTCAGCCACTTATTACTAATGCACTTAACTACAAATGCCTGAACGGACTGAAAACCAGCAGAGGAGCTAGTGGGGAGCCGAAGGTCAAATGTTTTCTCTCTTTTTTGCAAGTCAGATATTACTCAGATCTGCACAGTTAGGTATTTARACAACTAATAAGTAATTGTACAATTCTGTTTGTAGAAACTACTGTAGAAAAAGACAAACTCCTGTTTCAGTGTGGAGCACAGACATGTTGAACTGTTCCATCAAGCTTTTTATTGTTGGATATTTTGTGGTTGATTAACTGAGCATCTTTGTAAATCGGTCGTAGTCATTTACTTTAAACAGTAAGAGAATCTACAAGTTACTATTTAATACAGTGTTTCCCAAAGTTGGGTTCGGGACCCAAAGTGGGGTCCCGAAACATCAAGGTGGGGTCCTGAAAAGATTTTCAGAATTAATTACATTTTTGCCTTAGTTGTTACAAAGGAGTGAGGKTAGTGTATTTAAAATGGATTCATGTAGTATAAAAATATTGTTACTGTGCCCATGTTTAGTTAACCTGATACAAATGTTTATCATCCGAAAATAGATGGGGACACAGGTCTCTGCTACTGTTATTTTGTGGGTCAAAAGCTGAAAAGTTTGGGAACCACTGAACTTTGGTTTCCAAAGTTGGGCTTGGGACCCAATTATGGGTCATGAAGCACCTTGGATATTCTCCAGAAATCAATTTAAAGGGTAATAAAATAATTGCTGATGTAATATTTTTCCTATAACTATTACAAAAACACACAAAAAATTATAAATAAGTATTTGTATTTGTGTACAAGCTGTTTAGGTTGTCAAAAAGCCTGTGTTTTTAGGGTTATTAACAAAGTTAGTCTACTCAGACCAGTAATATTTGGGGTCACACGTTTTTGCCRTGGATATTTTTTGGGTCATAAGATGTAAAGTTTGGGAACCACTGATTTAATATGTGCCTCGCGCCAGCAGTGTAAACATAATGTTCCATTGCTGACAGACCACCCTGAGGGGGTGTGGCCAGGTTTTCTATAAATATGAGAACGTGATCAGCACATTTGCCAACTTAGTGACTTTGTCTCTAGATCTCGTGAGTTTTCAGACCCCTCGAACAACTTTTTTTTTCAAAAAGCAACAAATCTAGCTACTTTTCCTGTGTTATTGGAGACTTTTGGAAACTTTGGTGACTGCACCTTCCTCAGCAACACTGATTCACTAARATAAACCTCTTAGACCCCAACCTCAGTCGCTTCTTCACCTCGTGCACCTCTGAGACATTTAACAGTCTGTTGGTTAAATTAGATATTCTCACACAATTTATTTAATGTGATTCTAAACAAAGCACTGAAGTCATAAAATCATTTTAGTTCTTTTGCAGTTCTATATTTCAACATTGATATCTTAATTATTGTTTAAACATCTGCAACTTGTAACTCTTTAAAACACTAAAAAGTAGTAGAACTGAGTCCATTGCACAATTGCAGAGCTAAAATTCGATGTAGTAGCAGCAAAGAGACATTCACAACTGAGCAAGACATCTCCCAATATCACAAGATCACGTATCTGTTCAGGTTTTGATCAAAATGTTTTTGTCAATCTGGGCCTTATGTTTAGTTAATATGCAACACATCTGGACTGCAGGTGGTTAAGTTTAGCACCTGGGYTCTGTGTTGTATTCAATGCAGAAAGCTCGACACCATCTTGATGAAATATTTAGGCCTTTTTTTTTTTAGAAAAAGAAACAACTGGATGGCAACATGTTGCTCTGAAACATATTGATTAGCATAAATGCTGCCTTCTCAGAAACTCCCTGAGGCGTGTGCATTAATGCGTGATGACTCCTACATCATCACAGAGGCTGACCTTTGAACTGCTGACAAGCAGGAAGGGTCATCTCTTCCCAGTTCAGCTCCAGAAACACAACTTCCTGATTTTGAAAAAAAAAAAATATATATATATATATATATATATATATATATATGTGTGTGTGTGTGTGTGTGTGTGTGTGTGTGTGCGCGCGTGTGTATATGCTATTTTAAAGTCCGTCTTAAAGGAGCTGCTGTTTC